ATTCCAAACCCCTATTGCTTTGTATTTTGCTCCCAGTGGAAGGCCTAGATATGTTGTTGGAAAGGAGCCAATTACACAACTCATAATACTAGCCAACTCTTCCAAGTTAGGCACTGTATTCACAGGGTAAATCATACTTTTTTGCATATTAATGTGTAATCCTGAGATAGCTTCAAAAATCAGTAAAGTCAAATTTAGGTACTGGACCTGAAGCTTCTCCACCCCACAGAAGATTAAAGTATCATCTGCATAGAGTAAATGTGACACTGCAACTGGGTCAATTATGTTGTTTCCCACCCTGAACCCTTCAATCCACTGCATTTGTTTTGCCTTATCAAGCATTCTGCTCAAACCCTCCATTGCAAGGATAAAAAGAAAAGGAGAAAGTGGATCTCCTTGTCTAATTCCTTTCTGTGGTGAAAAAAAACCAACTGGAGCTCTATTCACCAAGATGGAATACTTAACAGTAGTAAGGCTGTACCTGATCCATCTTATCCATCTGTCACCAAACCCCATTCCTTTCAAAATAGAAAGAAGGTATGACCAATTAACTTGATCAAAGGCCTTTTCTATGTCCAACTTACAAAGAATACCTGGAACACCACTTTTCAACCTCCCATCTAGCAGCTCATTAGCTATCAATGATGTATTTGTGATCTGTCTATTTTTCAAAAAAGCATTTTGCTATTTTGAAATCAGCTTGTCGATGACTGTTTTGATCCTCTCAGCTAGGAGTTTAGCAATTATCTTATAGACACTTCCAATGAGACTTATGGGCCTAAAATCTCTGAGCTCTATAGCACCTTTCCTCTTGGGAACTAGAGCAATTAAAGAAGCATTATTGGACCTCACCATATAACAGTGTTGATGGAAATGATTAACAGCACCCATTAAATCCGATTTAACGAAGACCCATGACCTTTGAAAAAAAGCCATTGTAAAACCGTCCGGACCTGGACTTTTGTCTGGAGCACAAGAGTTGATTGCAGCCCACACCTCATCTTCCTCAAAATCTCTCTCTAACCATGCCTTCTCTGTGGGAGAAAGACTTGGCAGATTTGAATAGTTATATTCTGGCCTCCATTGTTCATTCTCAGTGTAAAGGTCTTGATAGAAACTCAAAATTTCTGCTTTAATGACTTCCTTATCTTCACATAGCTCATTTTCTATCATTAGCTTATCTATGCTGTTATTTCTTCTATTGGAGTTTGCCATTCTTTGGAAGAACTTGGTGTTCTTATCCCCTTCTTTGAGCCAAAGACACCTGGACTTTTGTCTCCGTGAGACTTCCTCAGCCTTTGCCATTTTTTTGAGGTCTAATTTCAGCTGCATGGATTTCTCCTTTTCTGCTTGGGACATATGTCTTGTTTCAGTTGCTTGTTCTAATAATGCGAGTTCCTCTAGCAGTTTGATCCTTTGTGCTTCCACTCTGCCAAATGACTCCTTGTTCCAAACTGTAATGTCCTTTTTCAAACTTCTCAATTTTTGAGTTAGAATGAAATCTGGACTGCCCCCAATTGTATAGTTCTGCCACCATCCTTTGACCTTGTCCATAAAACCATCTACTTGAAGCCACATATTTTCAAACTTGAAATACGATGGATTGGCTTCCCAGTCACCACACCCCAACAATAAAGGCCTATGATCAGAAGTAACTCTTGGAAGAGCTAATTGCTTAATTGCCTTGAAGTTGTCATTTCACTCTGGAGATATTAAGAACCTATCAATTCTTGAGGCTTGCATGGAATCTTCTCCTCTGTACCATGTGTAGTGAGCTCCTTGAAGGGGAAGATCAATGATACCTAAATCTTGAATTGTATCTGTAAAAGATCTCATCGCCCTGGACCTTCTGACACAATTATATCTTTTGCTCTCAAATCTGCGGACGTTAAAGTCACCCCCTATAACCCACTGCTCCTCCCATATACCTCTGATAGCTGCTAGTTCATGCCATAAAATCTCTCTTTCTGGATTTGTATGGGGGCCATACACCCCAGTGAAACACCATCTAAAATCCTCCTGTGTGCTTTCCAACATGCAAGATGAAGTGTAGAGGCCTTGATGCACTCCCACATTAACCCATTGCCTCTTATCCCATAAGACTATGATGCCACCACTTCTCCCATTTAACTTTAATTCTGCCCACTCAATCCATCTGTTGCCCCAAAGTTGCCTAATGAAAGAGGTTGTCCACTCTTCAATTTTCGTTTCTTGTAGGCACACTATATCTGCTCTCCACTTGTGCACTAATGATTTTATTGTGCTCCTTTTCTCTTCCTCATTTAGTCCCTGCACATTCCAACTNCATAAATCATCCCCCATTTCAATCTTTCCAGTTCTAGTGACTGCTTCTTCTTCCCTTTGCTGCTAGCTTTTATTGTTGCCTTTTGCTTCTGCTTCTGAATTTGCCTTTTTTGCTCCATTCGCAGAATGATGTTAAGTATTTCGTGCTCAAAACCAGCCACATTTATCCCAAAGACTTTGCATGCCCTAAGCATAACTGATTTGGTCCATCTAGAAGACTCAATTACTTCTGGAGTGTTGATAATTTGTGAGCTTTGAGGCCCCAAATCGTACCATGGAAGTGAGAGAGTGTCGCAAGAAGAGGCTTCGGCTTCAGATCTACTTACTGATAGAAATTCCTTCATGGATGGTTGACGTGGGATGACAAGGCTCAATGGCTCTGCTTTGTCGTCTGCTTCAGATGAGAGTTGGCTTTGCTGAGTTCTAGAATCTCCTGTTGCTTCTATCTCAACTGATAATGGGTCGAAATAGTTTTCTTGAGCAAAAGGGCTGATTTTATTAAGACATGGGTCCAAAACTGGCCCTTTAGGCAACCATATCTGCATAGGCTTTTTATCATTCTTAGAAGACTTAGAATTTGGGCCTTTTGAATAATAAGTATGGTCTAGGGTTTGGCCCAAATTTTTCCCAGCCTTCTTACTAACTGATCCAGGGACTGAAAAGCTTGTTGACTGGGGTTGGTCAGTCAAATTAACTTTGGCCTTTGGAAATTTTGAATTAAAGTGCTTCTGACCAACACGTGCTCTGCTATTATTGAGTGGTTCTTTTGAGAAGCTCGAGGTTGGAACCTCCAGAATTGTTGTCACTGTAGCATTCATCTTCTTCCCCTCTTCATCAGCTACACCCCCAGCACCGGAAAGTATAGACGTGTGGACATCCTCCAGAATCGAGATTTTATATCTCAGATCTCCAAGAGACAGCTCTAATTCACGCGGATGATCTAAAAAAAAGTTTTTAACACAAATTCTTGCCCAGTGGAGGTGAGATCTGCTTTTTGTATCTTCATCAATGCCCACGAAACCTCCACATAAATCTCCAATATAGCGAAAGGTGCTAGTGGTCCAGCCATGAAGAGGAATTCCGAAGACTTTTAACCATTTTTGATCCGCAACTTCACTCGCCGGAGTTGACCCAGATTCCGGCGACCACCACTCAAGAGTTAAATGTCTTGCCATTCAAGAACCAGTCACCTGCTTTAACTCGAACTGCTTCTTGCCTCGAGGGGAGTTCAAAGAGGAACTGGTTGTGGGAGATGAAAGTAACTCTAAGGCCTGCTGTCACCTGCCACCGGGAGATGAACCATTTCTGTATGACTTCAATATTTGGACTGTGGTTGAAAGAATCATTGAAGCGACCAACCAGACATTTAGAGATAAATCAAGAGCTAGCATCTGTAAATCCACTTGGATCTTTCTCGTCTGAGGTGTCTTGCTGAGTGGGCCATCTTAAAATTTCTGCAGCATCTAAGTAGGATTTATTTTGTAAGTCTGTGTATCTCCTGTATTTGTAGTTGGAAGCTTCTCCCAGAAAGTGTAATATTTTCCCAGCTATATCTCCCCATCCCCAGTTGTAATCATTTTCCGGAATAATTAATGCTGGTTTCCTGTCCCCCATCCAAGTTTCAACTCTGAGATACCTTCCGTAGGAATTGTAGTTCTGGTAGACTCTGTAAGTGTATGCCTGAATCTTCCTCCCCCATCTTCTGTAGAGATCTCCATACCCTCTTGAAGCTTGCATCATCTGCTCACAGACCCATCTTAGATTTTCTTCGTCGATCTTGATTCTACTTGTAAACCTGCGACCACGCTCCACCCATATGAACCATCTGTCTACATCCTCGCTAATTTCGAAAATCTCGAAAGATTTGTCACCTGAAATGAAGAATATTTTCTTCTCCATGTTAGCGTACTGTCTCGCTGGAGATATGACTTACCGGAGAGAAAGCCAGGAAGAGAGAATTTTTCTGTGTAGTTTCGGATTGAGAAATTAAAATTTTTGGTTTTTTTGGTATGCATGTTGTTGTTGTTGTTGATTTTTTTGGTATGCTTTACAAGACTTTTTTGCATCATCCTATGTTGAGGAGCTAAAAACTAATTGAGTAGGGTATCTCTTGTGTGTCTGAGTTACATTGGGCATTCTAGCTTAAATTTTTAGCAGGAGCTTTCTTTTATTGTTTATTTTGCATGCTTCAAAGTGTCTGCAGTAGTTTGGTAAATGATGCTGTTTGACTATCGTAAACTGCAGGGATATAAAAAGGGTCTGGTTGACAAATTGTGGAGGTTTACTTATTATTTATATGTCTAGGTGGTAGGATCTTTGTCAATCTTAGTTACTTTCTCTCCAAATTATGGTTGCTTTCTCTCCAAATCACGCTTGTACATTATGGCTTTTCATTATTTGGCAGGGAACTTCCCTGTTTAGTCCTGAATCTGGGGCATACCTTCAAAGTTTCAGAGAATAACTTCTGTTTCATTATTTTATATTGCTAGCACGTTATGTGACCATGCTAACTTATTGTTGTAGAAAACTACATATGCAAGTACTCTCAGATGTGAAACAGCATAGAACCACATATTATAGATATCCATTCTTTTCTTTCAGGCATTGGGTACTGGATTTGCATCGTTTGCTCAACCAGTATTTCAGAGGTGCATTACCATCATCCAGTCGCAACAATTGGCGAAGGTTTTATACGATACTATATCCCGTTGTTTTCTATCTCTGATTTGAGTGCTTCGTTTATTTTGTTTCTTTTATATTTGTTGATAGATATAAATTGGCTAATACTTTCTATGAAAGACAAGTTTTTCACTATTTATATTAGATGGTCTAAGTCATCCTTCTAGTCACCTACATGC